GCTTTTGTTCTTGGTACCTCTGCAAAAGAGCAGCCTCAGTCAGGTCTGTCTTATCACTCCAGCACATTATTAGGACAAACAGTCCCTGTATGCTCTAAAATGAAGCAATGCTTCACCCTTCATCTGTGTTGATTGAGCCTGGAACCTGAGCTCTTTCCTTTCTCACTGCAAAGCAAAGCATGCTTTTTTTTCTTTTTCTTTCTCTCTCTTTTCTTTTCTTTTTCTCCTGTTGTTGGTGATGAACTTTCACTGCTCACACATTTTGTTCTGTAAAGTCAGAGCTCTTTGTTTTCAACATTTACAGCCTCTTAAACTCCTTGTAGTGACCATGGCTGAACCCTGAGGTCTTTTCTTAGGCTTGACTCTCCCTCTTGATCACACTGTGCTCCAGTTGATTTAAATGGCACTTTTAATTGAGAAAGAGGAGGAAACTCAGGATTTGGTGCAGTATGTTCTGTGAAAAGATAGTCACCCATAACCTATATTGCCTTGACTTGGCAGTATTGTTTTATTTTGCGTATCTGACAATCTCCCTTTCACTGCTTACGTAAGAAAATCGTTTGTACTGTCAACAGCTCTGTTTAATCTTTAATAATAAAATTAGTAACTAATACCAAGAGGTCTGAGTCCTGAGGCCCATTTTTGGGTAACGTTTCCATTGAAGCCAATGATAGTTTTGGCAGGAGCACCTCTGGGTAAGCCCCATATAGTGAAGTCAGAATTTACTCCAACAAGTTTTTCAGTAGCCTCTGTTTCTGCTCTACAAAGAGCAACCGGGGCTGTGGTGGCAGAGAGAGGAGCATTAGAGGAACCTTGTTGTTTTTTTCCATTTAATGACTTAGTTGGACAAGATGTCTGATGATACCAGGTTTTTCTAATTCTCATTTTTATAAGCTATCTAATGCGCAGAAACGCCAGTTCTGGGCATATGTTCCTGTCCCTGGAGTCTTGTTCAGACATTAGAGAAACATTTTCTAACTCAAAAGATAAACACTTCTGCTAGAGTTCAGGGACGGAAATTGTTTTCATCGCAGCAGGTGTTGCCTATTAGTTCTACTAGAACTAAAACCCTAAGCTGGGCTTTAAGCAAGATGCATAATCAAGCTCTTACATCATTGTGAGATGTACCGTACTTGAACCTTTTGCTTGCTGAGACTGTATTTCCTCCAAGAAACATCCTGTTTTGCAATCCCCCAAATTCCCCATGTGCCATACAGCTTTAGGGATTTCATCACCTCCTGGGCACACAGGCTATGCTTTCTGCAAAAGACCCAAAGGGAGGGAGAGAGAGAAATCCAGGCAAGTCAGAGGTTTCCGTATTTCCTGGTGGGACCATGTGACCCTGAAAGATAGCTTTATTTTTATTTCACACCCTTTTTCTTTGCTTCATGCTGTTTCCATTCTAGGCCTGAGTCTGCCAAGCAGGCTGCTGGAGACTGCTGGTTGCATCATGTTGAGGAGGAGATTGTGCTCTGCTCGCTCCTGCTCAGGCTCTATCTTTCTTTTAATGGCCTTTCTGCTCCATTTCTGCCCTTCACCTTGCTGTCACTCTTGCAATAAATAAAATGTTCAGACCAATAGAAGACATAGCTCTTTGCAGTTTTAGTTCTTTATCTCAAGCTTTTGTCTGAGTTTACTGCTAAAGGCAGGGGATTTATTTACAATCCCCAGCTTTGTATTTGTGGATAGAATATTTCTTCCTAGTACTTCTAATTTTGCAACTTGTCTGTAAGTCTTATTTCTTTTGGACCTAATTTTACTCACCTGAATTCACTGAGGTTGTTAGTCTGGGTTTATAAACGTGAAGCAGTTCTAAGGGGTGCCTTGAGCAGCTCCATCTGGCCTTGTGGTTCTAACTTGCCTTGGCCTTGTATTTGCCTGAGGAACCTGGTTGTTGCTGACCCTATTTGCAGCCATCAGATCTGCTTAGCTCTTGCCCAGTTGCCCAGGCATGGGGGGCTCAGATGGAGGTCACCTTGGTCCTGTTGCTCTCGAAGAGCAGCCAGCTGTGGAAGGGCTGTGGAAAGCAAGAGCTGGCTTTCGCTCACTGAAAACACTTTCAAGACTCACCCTAAGCATTGCTCACATGTTATGCTTTGTGCAACTGACCTGGGTCACGGTCTGTAATCTGTTTACAGCTCTGTTGCCTTCTCATGGATTTTAGCCCAGCTGCAGCACTCATAGGTTAGCAATAATATTCCATTATTTCTGCAATCAATGATATTGGTCCATCTAACAGATAAACAGAAGGGGGTTGAATCTATTTTATTTTTTTTCCTTTATAGTAAAAGAAGTGTATGATGACAGCCACTGGTTCCCTGGATTTATCAGTGCTTAGTCACCTAAGAAAGTGTAGTTAAAATGACAATAAACTCTTGGGGCCATGACCATATTCTAGAGCCAACATCCCCCATTAATGCATGTCTTACAAATGATGTGCGGAGTGTAGAAGGAAGCAAAAAGGAAAATCACATCTACCCCGTACTAATGATATTTCAGTGATACAGCAAATTGTGCTGTGCTGCAGGATAATGAATGTATAGGAGAGAATCCCAGTCTTTGAGAATGGGGTTCTAAAGCAGCCCAGAGAAGCACTTTTTCCTCATCCCACTAGAGGGTGGGTGCAGTTTGGACAAAGCAAGGCTTTGGCTGGCTGAGCTCTGCCTGCTTGGCAAGGTTCACAATAAGAGTGTGAGCATCAGTTTATCACCTAACAAGGGTGATGGGGCTGCCAGAGCTGGCAGTTGGTACTGCAGAGAATATTTAGCTCGGAGATGGATGCAAGTATTTTCCCTCAGTCCTTCAAGCTCCTCAATCAGAAGTGATTGCCGTATTAATTTGATATAAATTGAGGCAAATGTTTTGCAGTCATTCAAAACAAAAATGTCACTACATTTTTTTTCCCCCCCCCTAAAGATTTAGGAGTTCACCATGTTGGTGTGCTCTACCAACCTCACAGGCACAGCCAATAAGAGTAATTCTTTCAAAGAGACAGGAAAAACAGAAGAAAGAATAGGCTAGACTGTGTTGTCTTTTGATTTAATATATATGAAATCATTCTTTTTGTGACAAAAGGTGACATGCAGTAAAGCAGTCCCCTCATCATAGTCTCCACTCTGGAAATGAAACAGTTCATGCAGAAAATAAATGGCTGTAGTTTAGAAAGAATGATTCATTGTACAGCAATCAGTATAATCTGAGATGACTTCCCTAAACTCTACTTCTGATAAGGGCCAAAAGATATTGTTTCAGTTATCTTTTTTTTTTTTTTTTTTTTAATCTGTTGATTTGTATTGTAGGAACTGAGAATACAATGCTGGCTCAGGGAAGAGCTAAGTATTTTTTAGCTGACCTTTAAACATCTAGATGAAAGTGGAATAAGGGTAGAAAAGAATAAATAAAAGCTTATAAAAACTGCGGGAAGAGAATCCCTAAAGAGATCGATTTGACCAATGTTAATTTGGTAAGGTAAGGAAAAGGATTATAGCTCTGTGATGTTGGGAATGGGATGAGAAAGAATGCCATGAAATTTCTGCTGTAAGTGAAGGCATGAATGCTATTAAGATAAATGCCCCTTTTGACACAAAGTTGAACTCCCTTATAGAGTCCCATCTTGCAGATTGTAGTGAGCAGTCAAAGATTTGTCTTCTAGAGACAGAGAGTTACAATTATATTAACTAAGCTAAAAATGAAAAGGAAGAGGAGAAGAAATGACAAGCCTTTGACTTTGACATATGATAGACTGTCAGTTTCTATCATAAAGAAATAGAACTGGTATAACAAAGTATAATACAACACAGTTGCATATAGTAGTAGCATAGGTCTGTGCTAGGTCAAGGGAAGAATATTGCACAACTGACCCAGGTGCCTTGAGGCTTTGTAAATCCATTTTTAATCATCTATTAAAGCATCAGTGTTGGCCTATCCTGGAGACAGAAGACAAGGGGAAGATGGATCACTGAGTCTATTCTGGCATAATAGTTCCTATGTTTTGTTCCATAGAAAGGGTTGTGATCAACAAAAGCACTGCCAACTTGGTTCACTTGCCAGTTTATGAGCAATAGGATTGTTTTGCTGGTTTATGCAGCCCTAGTTATTTCTACTGTTACTGAAATGTGACATTGGCTGACAGCTCTGTGGGATCTCACATATGGAGACTTCGCTCCACAGGGATGGGAGAAACTGGGCAAATTGCATTGGGTTTTCCACATATGGGGCCAATTCATGCCTGATGAACCCCCTGTGGAAGATGCTGGCACTGCACCAGCCAAGAGGCTGTTTGTCATGATTAAAACCCTTGAATTTTTCCCCCTAATGGGGGACCATGCTGAGTTTCAGTGTGTACTGCTCTGCTGCTGCCTGTTTCTGTTGTTGCTAGATCTTCTGTAGTTGTTCCCTTTTGTTTAAAAGGAGAGCGGTGAACTAAGCTGGTGGTTGAATCTGCAAATGTGGTCTTGTTGGATTATAAAAATTGTTAACACTCTTTGTCACCTTCAACATGGGATGTGAATGGGTGTGAGAATAGGCAATATGAATAAAGAAGAATTGAGTGATGGAAATGAGACCAGAGTGGTGGAAAGCAGAAGAGATAAAAATGCCATGGTGATTAGTTCAAGGGCAGTCCCAATCCATCCTGTATCCAAGTGGTATGGAAGATTATAGTAGTACTGTAGCAGTGCTACATGTGTCCAGAGAAGATGGAGCCTTGAGAATATGGTCAGGAATGGAGAGGAAAGGAACATGGTGGGATTTATGGAGCTGGGGAGGTACTGGGTTGAAAGATCTATGGGGTGGAAATTTTTCTGTGCTCTGTAGTGCTAGACCTGCGTGTTGTTGTAGTGAAAATGCTAAGTCAGGGCTTGAAATATTGACTGAGCAACTGGTGGGAAGGCAGGGCCGACCCAGGGGGAGCTCAGGTGCATGCAATGTACCTGAGTGATTGGAAGAGGTGGAGCCAGGATCCACCCCTTCCCTGACTTCATTTAAGTGTTGGCAGTGGGTGCAAGGATATCTTGCTGGTGATCCCTGCCTGCTTGAGGTTTTCCCAAGGTGAGTGGTTTTTCCTCTTTTGTTTCTGTGTCTACAGCTGCTGTATTGGTGTTTGTTCTCGTTTGATGTGGGCAGCCTAGAATTGTGCTACTTCTCTATTATTGCTGTGTTTTCTATCATGTTACAGTATTACAGTTGTGTAAGGCTAAACTTGGATGGTGGAGTATGTTAGAAAAGATAATGAGGGTACAGACAGGAAGACACAACTGTTGCACTGTTTTGGGTTTCCTTTCATCTCTTCGTGGACATGCTTTAGGAAGTTAAGAAGTGAAGATGCTAGTGTGAGTGACTTAGTAAAACCAACCTCAAGTTTACTTCTATGCGTAGTTCTGCTTCTATATGTAGTCTTTCAAAGCGAGATATGGGACTCACTTCTACTGCTCGCAGTGCCCTGTGAAGGAGGGGGCTGGAAAAAGAAAAGTAAAAACACAAGAAAAATGTATGAAGTCTGAGAAAAGTAGCAAGGCTGTTAGTTCTTGTCTAAATTAAGATGCTTCAGCTGAAAGGGTAACGAATGACCTGGCAGGGGGAAAAAGATTAATATTTCTCAAAGAGCTGGCAGTAATACAGGCTACCAGGAAAGGCAGAGGCAGCCAGACTAAGGCTGATGTGGGCGATGGAAGGAGAGAGTCGCTCAAGATAGCACAAGAACTGGAGGCACCTTCCTTTGCAGGAGGTGGGGGGCATGCCAAATCAACGATGCCCATCCGTAACTTTACTGTCTTCTTCAACACTTGCTCTTTCTTTGCATATACTGCAACTGTGGGCAGTGAAAGTAGCACTTAAAAAAAAAAAGGACAAAGTAAGTGTGGCCCCTGAGCTGTTGCTGTGTTGCTAAGCTATCTCCTTCCAGTGTTTGGTTAAAGCAGACTCTTCCTCCAGTTTATTAGCTGGACAGAGGCAGCATGAAGATAAGTTAAGCAGATCAGATAATCTATCCTCCAAGGTGTTATGGTTTTAAAAAAAACCAACTGTTTCTTCATGCAGAAGTGCTTACATTCTAGCAGATTACAGTCTGTGGTAATTGATCTTGCCTGTATGCTTAAGAACTTGAGCCATGTGTAAGATCTGCTTTAAATCAAGTTGTTAGCATGGTTATTGTGTATGAATGAGCACAGCAGGTCAGAGAAAACACAAATGTGTGAACCTTGAAATTCCAGAGCAAACACTGATTTCTGTATGTTTTCTGAAAACCAGCAGAATTTACGAGCTTTGTATGTGAAAGCAAAGAAAGCACTGTCTAATATCAATGTTTTCTGCTTTAGGGGAACTTTATTCTGCATATTTTAGGAGAGGGACTTCAATGCCTAAGAGATTTTCTTCTGTTCATATTTTGAGATGGTGGCTGGTGAGGTTTTAGTTTAGAATCAGGACTCATGAGCATGAGCCAGGAAGGTCATACAGGTGATGTTGCTGTGTTTGTAGGCAGACCATGAGAAAAGGGGCAAGAGATGAAGGGTGAGGGGAAAAGGATAAAAAGGGCACACAGCTGTGAGTTGAAGCTAAAAGGCAAAAGGAGGTGTATAGGTTAAAAAAAATGAAATTGATACGTATGTTAAGAAATATGAAGTGGAAGTAAGGTTCAGATGCAAAGGAACCTGCATGCAGTCAGAAATGGTCAGAATGCTGAAAATGGGGAGTCAAGATAATGGATATTGCATTTTGCTAATGCTGAATGCTCAAAAAGAAAAAAAGCACTGTCTCCTTTGTTTTGTTATGATCTGGAGTCTTGGATCTCACTTCCCCCCCCTCCTCCCACTGAGCACAGCCTTTCCTGGGTGCACTGCTCTGGCTGGAGCCCCTGGGCAGGGGAGATGCAGCCCTCCAGCTTGGGCAGCATGCTCCAAAGACCATTCCTGTAGAGCCACTGGAGTTCTGCCTAGGGAGGGACTTGAGCAATGTACTTGAGCGTGTGCATTCAATGTGTAAGCAGAGTATTGAGAAAAAGCAACACAAGAAGGCTGTAAGGTTGCCTCCTTAATCTTGCTTGTGGAATCTGCCTGCAGAATCTCAGGCAAGGCTTCTTCCAGTCTGGAGGTAGTTTTGGTTTCGCATAGATGGTTTTTGAAGGCCACCTCCATCAGCCACCATGCGGTATTGCTGTAAAATAAGAAAAATAATAGTCTTGCTCCCTGGAAGCCAAGTAAAACCACAGTACAGATCTGACAGCTGTCCAAGCAACTGAGAACAATCAGTCATAAAGCAAACGCCTTTAAGTCAACAAATAGAGAACCAAAGAAATATCAAGTGAGATTAATCACTATCAGTTGTTCCAGGATTTTATAACAAAGGGGCAGGAGGAGGAATTAGTCTTGCAGACTTCACACACTTTTTTTTTCTTAAGGGTAGCAGTTATCCAAGTCAGTAAAAATGAGGTAATTATATTGCAAAATTCTTTGGATGAGAATGAGACTTACGTTCTAAAATCCGAAGCTACACTTACCCACAGCAGAAAATTGCTGGAAATCGGGAGAACAGCAGCTTGCATGTTTATTTTTCCTAGAAGAAAACAATTGACTCTTCAGAACTCATTTTGGAGTGACTGAAAACAGATGGCAGTGGAGATGCCTTGCAACCCAGAAGTATCAGGGTGGTTATGGATTCCTGGGGGCTTGTGTTGTGCTTGCTTGCCTTGAGCTTAAACAAATGCACACTGGACTGGGAAGCAAAAGAGACTTTTCAGGAGGCAGAAATTCTCAATTGCTTGTTTCTCTTCCTGAGTGAACGGGAACACTGCTATGTTATTTCTTCTGTTGTAATTATTAGACTGTAATGTGCTGGCAGAGCTGACCTTACCTTCCCAAATCCTGCAAAATGATTAGTTAAATCCTGCAGCAGGAGGGAAGATGGATGTGTGGGGGGAAAAAAAAAAAAAAAAAATTCTGGATACTATGTTGAAAATGAGGGGTTTCCAAAGATTTGTTGATGTGCTTGAGTGGCAACACATCATTCTGGGAAAGGTATGTAGAAGTTATTTTGTAGTAATGCAGTAATTCTAGGTATATATACTTATAATCATGCTATACAAATAATAACAAAAATCCCCTTGTAGGCTGTGATGTTCTTTCAATGCTTACAGTGTCTCCTGCTCTAGAGGGGATCTGTGCTATGGATTTATTCATCAGAATGAAGGTGGTTACTCAGTATTTGAAGAAAGAATAACAACAAAACCCCAATCCAGGTTAGTATTTACATAGATTTCAGGTTGCAAATAGTCACACTGGGTTAATAAGAGCTCCTGCATGTACAGGGTAGCTTGTACCTCTGTGCTTTGCAGCAGGGAGCAGGTGTGTTCTCACAACGCTGTTTCTTAGAAAACTACTGAGATGCTGGGAGATCCCAGATGAGATGCCAGTTTCCAGCCCAGACCTATAGCCCAGCTAATTCTGCCTGGGATCTGGAGATGGAGCTGTCACACTTCTGCCACATTCTTTGTCCTGAATTTAAAACATGGAGATGAGCCAAATCTGGCTCTCACTTGCAGCTTTGCCCATATTGCAGTTGCTGGTGCTGTTGTAGACTTCCAGGGTTTGCTGAGGCAGGGTTAATCAGTGTAGGGTTTGACCCTACTCCCTCTGAAGTCACAGCTAAGCCCTCGCCCCTTCTTATTTACCTTACATCTCATCTCTTTGTTCTCCTCTCCCCAGGAGTCCGTTTCTCCTCATGGCTTCTCCCTCCTTTCTCTCTTACTGTCATGCTGAGCCTGTGGTTTCTTTTATTGAAGAGGTTAGAATGAGAAGTCCCTGCAGCCCAGCTCTCACATCATCTGACCTGAGTTTAATCCAGTTTGTTTTGGCAGGGGGTATCACCACCAGAATGGGGTGGCCCAGAGCCTCAGTAGAGCTAACCTGGGCTGGCTGCACTGTGGCACACTCCTGCCTTGCAGCATCACAGCATTCACAGAATGCAAGGGAAAAATGAGTCACTGGAAAATCTTTGTGGTGCATGGGACAGGTCTGTCCCCTTGGTTGTTAGTGAAGCCAATGTCAGCAGTTTGCTGCAGGGAGCACCAGTGCTTCTTTGCCTTTCCTATGAATCTGAAAGAAATGCTGTTCTTCTGTTTGTTTCTGGTTTTCGGGCATTTTGGTGGGAACAGAGCCTGAAGTAGTGGAAGGTGGCATAAAACTGCATGTTGCCTGCCTGCTGTAGCACAAGAAACCATGATTTCTTATGAGTTTGAGATCTCAAAAATTACCTGAGGAAGTCTGAGATGAGCTGGGTAGTAAAAGTATAGGGGGCAGACTCAAGCCCTGCACTCTATGTGGTCCAGATTTGTGGTGACAGTAGAAACTGGGGTTTGTAATGCAGCTGGGGCCCAACTCTCAACAAACAGTTCTTCAGGCATTTGCTAATTTAAAAACATACCTTTGGATATGAAGAGTACCCTATCCAAATTTCCATAGCCTTGCAAAGTCATGAAATAGTGTTCCTTGTGTTAATGTTTCATTTAATAATAGCAGTCAGCCCCTCAAGGTAGTCCTTTTCAAGGCATTAATTGAGCTTCTTGGGTGCTCGAGGTCGTTAACCTTTGACAGTGGCTCACACCAGAGGCAAACAAATAACTCAAATGTTCTCCATAGCATGCCTTATTGCTTAAGCACACTGAAGGAATGTAGTATATCACTGGATAAATCATTCACCATGATATCATCAGAACTGCTGGTTTGCCTTTTAATTCTAATAGAGTACAGAATGTTTCGAACTGTGGCAGTTAAGATTTGCATTGACTGAAAAACCTAGTTGGATGATATATATGCATGAAAGAAAAAATAGGGGGAGAGAACAAAAAATGGCAAGCTGCATGCTGGCAGGTAGCTCTACATCCTTCCCCAGGCAGGTAGCTTACCTACCTGGTGTGCTCACTGTTATCTCTGCTGGCCTGGGCCATCTGCCAGGTCTTTGCCATTAACTATGCTGGAGTCATGGGAGCTGTTTGTGACATGATGATGTTGTAACAGAGAGAACTGGGATGTAGCTGTGTGCACATCCAGAAAAAATAATGGAGATGCTCTGGTCACTAGGAAGTTTATTTTCCCCTGCGTTTCTCCTGCTGTCTGGGGAATTTCTCTGGGGGATGTTAGTTTTGAATATTTTTAGAAATGATTTTAAGCTGAAAATGTTAGTGAGTTTTGTTGACTTGGACTGAGGGTAAAACTCACCCCCAGCTCTAGAGAGCTGAGATGAGTGTTCAAGACCTCCTTGCAGGGAACTTTCCTGATTGCAGTGAACTGCAGTTGGTGAAATTGCTGAGAAAATGTGTCAAAAGATGCATTCTCAGCTCCTCGTTCTTGTCATATGTTAAAGACAACTAAAAAATCCTTTATCTGACTTCTCCTCCAACCCTGCTACTACTTCTGGTCCCCCATAGTTGTTCTGCTTTGAACAGCATCCTAACTGCTTGGCATCCCCTTGTCCTTTCCTGTCCTGCCGGCTGAGTCCTACAGAAGCAATCTGGAGGTTCTTAGACCCCTGAGAACAAACATGGGGCTTTCTGGGCTGAGTTACCTGCAGAGACTGTTCTGGAAAGGATAAGACTCAGTCTATCTAAAGCCAGAGGCAGGAAAAAATTCTCATGTTTGTTGTCTGTCTGTTGAAGGAGTAGTTTTAGACTATTCTCATGCAGCAGCATTGCTGGTGTTCCAACAGGTGAGACCATACAGGAGTGGTAGGCCCTGATTAGCAGTCATATCTCCCAGTGAGAGGACCCTGGATACTAGGGGCAATAAAATAAAAATATTCTGTGTCTCTCTGTCATTGTGACCTTATAGTAATGGGACCAGAAGGTGGAGTTAATGAAGTATGTGGTCAGTGGCTGCAGTCCTGGAGGAATCCAGAAACCTCCAGTGTGCCTGTGAGCAAAATGAGGAGGAATGTGTAGCTACTGGCTTGGTTGTAGGATACTGCAGTCCCTAAGTCTAGCCCAAACTCATTGCCAGAGCAATGAAGGAGTAGAGATGAGCCTGAGAGAGCGTAGAAGAACATGAGCTCACCCTGGAGGACTTAAGCTGCCAAAGTTTTCCTGAAAAGGGAGACGACTTCATGCATACAGAACACAAGGACTCGTATGTCCCCAGTAGGAAAGTTTCTATTAAAAAACCAAACCCAGACATGCACTTTCATATTAATGTGAAAATTCTTCTGTTTCTGAAATCAACTCTTTAAGGGGGATGGAGGGGTGGGGGCAGAAAGAGAAAAGAAGCTGTTTGTTAGCATAATGAAATCCAGACAAATATTTATAGCTACTTTCAAGTGGCTTGTTCTAACATGAGTCGACTATCCCTAATACCTTCCCTTTAACACCATTAAGCATCTCCCTGGCACTCAGAACAAATTTATGAATGTCTTACAAAAGTCAACAAGCTACAGGAAAAAAATAAATAAAAAAGAGCCTTGTGCAAACAGAGCTTCATCACAAGAACTCAAACAAAGAAGGTCATATTCATCACTCGTTCAGAGAGAGGCAAGCCAAGGAGACTGATGAAAGATGACACAAGTACTGGCTGACTTTTAAACTCCACCTAATAGGAGTTTTTGTAGGTGCTGCCAGGGTGACCACACTCTTTGCAGGCTGCTCCCCTGTCTCCTGCCACATCTCATGGCTGGTAAATCTTTGCTCCACCTGAGTGCTGTCTTTAGTACAGGTGTGGAGATAGGTGTGAACAACAGGACTTGACCTGCAAGGTACCGTTAGGAGAGGAACTCCTCTTGAAGGGGGAGAGCTGTTTGATGTGTTAAATAGAATAGCTGGGTGCAATGTATGTTGTTGGAGCCTGTGAAGCAGACAAGTAGGTATCAGCATAGAGAAGCTGATGGTAAATCAGGTGGTGATGGCACTGAAGATGACAGGTAAGCCTGACCTGAGTTTCAAGGCTAGGTAAAGGAAGGCTGGTTATTGGTAGTTGTTTTGTTCCCTGCCACATCTGGGGTACTTTAATACACAAAGCTGCAGTTCATTAGGAGCTTGCTGCAGTCAGTGAGTTGTCTTACCCGTGCCTGAAAGTTCTGCAGCTGGGTGGAAAACTTACAATCATTGGATCATTAAGGTTGGAAAAGACTGCGAGGGTCATCTAGTTCAACCATCAAGCAATCACCACCATGCATACTAACCTATGTCCCTCAGTGCCACATACACTCTTTTCTTCGTTTCTTCTGGAAGTGCTGTTCTCTCCATGACAACCAAAATGAAAGTGGAAGGAGTTCTGGGACTGCTAAGTTCATGAGGGAACTCTGCCTTAGGTGCCTTGTTCGTTGGCTCACGGAAGTGTTAAATCCTGTGGAGGGATATGCCTTGGAGGGTGGGATGCAGGAAGAGGTGAAGCTGTAGGCAGTAGGGCTATAAGTCTATTTTTAAATCTAGAGCAGAAAGATTTTCTGATGTGTCACTTCAGCTGGATTTTTGGTGAAATAGACATTCTTACTGGATAAAATTCCTTTCTTGTGGCACCTGTGTTCCTTCTTGTGAAACAAAGGACTGTTCTGCCAGCTCTCAAACCTGCCCTCTGTTTTTACTTTCCCCAGCTCCTGGAAATGTATTCAGAATTAAGAGGGACCTTAATTCTACCTCCCCATAGTAAAGGATCATGTGTGATCTGGTCCTATCATACAGACTGCCTGTGAGCAGTGCTGAATTTCACTGAAATGAGAGTCAAGTTCTGCCTCCATAGCTGCAGAAGCAGGTGTCCCACAAGGTGACTAGCTGTTACAGAATACATCTCCTCTTTTTAGTCTCCAGAACTGTGCAATGCTTTGAAACTGGGTAAATAGACAGCTTCATGACAGTTTGTGATCTCCCTGTGCTGAAGCTGCCTAGCAAATGGGCTGCTGCCAGCACACATCCATTTGTTCCTGCCTGATGACTGCTAATGCCAAGCAGAGAAGATGGCTCTAAGGTATTTGTGCTGTGGAGATGATGGACTTATGGTAATCCAAGCTCTGTCTGCTTCATAATGTGGTGGCTGTGGGATATCAAGCCATCAACACCCTGCAGTCCACGGTGGATATGCAGTGTGTGTGGGTTAGCCTGTTTCCCTCTTCCATGACAATGTAAGCATAATTGGTCCTCATTTTTCTGTCCCTGTTATTGTTCTTATGCAAGAGGAACTGAGATGATCTGCCACCAAACAGTCCCTGTTCCTTGTCAGGGTTTATTGCTGCCCTCGAGCGCAGGATGCTTAAACTTTGGGTGTATATGGACAATGTAGACATGTATATTCTAGCTCGCAGAGTATTATAACCCTGTAGAAAGGAAGCTGCTACAGGACGCTTGTTGCTTCTACCTATTAACTCATTTTCAAGCAAAACTGTAAGATTTATGCCCATGAGAGCGCCTGCAAAGTTCAAGTGAAGGGAAGTGGGAAGAGCAACCCTCAAACTTTTCATAATTCAAACAGAAAAGAACTGAACAAAAAAAAAAACCTCAGGCGAGGGATGATGAAAGAGCCTCATGATTTTGAAAAGCTTTTTCTAGGGTTAAAGTCTGCTTTGCTGCGGAGTTAAACTTTCTCCTGCTCTGAAACCATGTAAAAGTTAAACAGTTCAAGAGTATTTGCTGCTGTAAATTGTTATCCAGAATCCTGGTGCTCTTGGCTGCCTATGTTTTATCATTTATGCATGTCTTTTCCTTCAGTATTTAAAGTCATTTTCTGGTTTATGGCATGACATAAACCGATAACAAAATCCTACAGCCTCAATAGTTACTTTAGCCACTTATTTTCTTTTAAACATTTCATCTTGCCAAATTATTGAGTCAGCTGTAATGACTTTGATGTAAACATGTACTTTTGAACTTATATGAAGATCAAAGACAAAGCAATGTTAAATGGAGGCTGGAATCTGGAAATGACCCGTGCGAAGTTGGCACTGGTGTTCCATCTTTTTACAATCGTTTTTGTGATACGGAGCCCAGAATAATTTTTTTCATTTCAGAAGTGAAGAAAACACTCTTATAAAACAATGTTTGCCAGTGCTGAAAACATTGTGGTGTCTGACAGACAATCTGTGTCATTTCTTGCTTTAGCATGATCATCATGAAGGTAAATCTTGCTCTGATGACATGGTGGGTGGAAAAAGACATACTACTTTCTGGTCACTGTTTTGCTTGGATTCTGTGACCAAAGTAAAATGCTAACCAGAAGAAGTAGTAGACGTACAAGGCTTGCTCTGAAAGCAATGCCTTGTATTTTATTATATTAGCCCACAACATCAGAGGCTGATGGTGGGATGGCAGTGGAGTTGGACCTTAGCACCCATTACATATTGTTGCTGTGTGGGGAAAAATGTCAGCAGAGGATCAGTCTGACACAATGGAGCCTGACATGGAAGTATGTATGAAGCAAAGATGAAGAACTGAATTCCTTTGTCTGGAGAAAGCTGCACCCATTGATATTTATGGACACTAAACATTGGATGTAGCACAGTGAGGTGGTGGGTGATGTGCTACAGCAGTGGCAACAGCAATGCAGAAGATGAGCCATGTTATGGATGGCCATGCATAGCTGTCAGATCACAAAATAAGAATGTCTTGATTAGCTCATCTGTGCGAATGAATGAATGATGAGCAGAGAACTGTGTTTGGAGCTGAATATCAGCTTCAGTGCATTGGAAACAATGGCGGCAGTGTTAGAATATCACAAAGTCTGTGCCAGATGGGTTCCATGAATACTCATGTGGGAACAGATAAAGCACTGTATGCAAGTGTGTTAGAACCTATTGAATGTATATGAAGCTGAAGGTGACAGTTCCTGAACTGCGATGTGGTGTGAACACTACAATCCAGAGCCAAAACAGCAGTCCTTGTGTAGCAGAAGTGCTGTCATGAGCTGAAGCAGTGATTGAGCACCTGGTGGGAAGGCAGGGCCAACCCAGGGGGGCTCAGGTGCATGCAATGCAGCTGAATGACCAGAAGGGGTGGAGCCAGGATCCACCC